GTGCTTACCTTGCACACAACCAGCTCTAGTTCAATCTCCAGCACTACTAGGTGTATTGGCCCTTATACATTACCAGGATTAAGCCCTGAGCATGGCTGGGTGTGGCACAACCAACTCCCCCCAAAAATGTTTTTCATATTACAAGTACAAAATGTAACATTCTTTCCCAGAATATGACCCTAGTCCTACTATATTAAGAAAAAGAAATTTAATCCATTGCCTAATTTTCTTATCCATTCTCTGCATCAAAATATCTGTCCAGTCCACTCTCCTCCACCTATATTCTCATCCTTTTTGCTTCTTTTTTTCTATATTTTTCCCTTGATACCTTAGTATTAAGTTAAGGACTATAAACTATTTTTAAACATTTTTAATTGAAAGATCATAAATTGCAAAACTATTCATGATTGAGTTTCAGAATACAGTGTTCCAACATCAGTCCCTTCACCAGTGAAACTTTATTTCATCAAAATTCCCAAGATTTCCTCCTGCCCCACAACCTGCCTCTATGCCAGGTACTTCTTTCTTTTTCTTTTTTCCTTTTAGGCACTGTGGTTTACAACACTGTTATTGATAAGGTGTTGTGCATATTACTTGACCTCCTTTCAGCACCCAGTCCTCATCCAGAGTGACCACTTCCCTCTATCGTTGTCATAGTGATCTCTTCCCAGACTTAACTCTCCTCCCCTACACAGTGGCTATTGTTCTTTCTTTCTCTCTTTCTTTCTCTCTTTATTTCTCTCTCTTTCTTTCCTTCTTTCTTTCTTTCTTTCTTTCTTTCTTTCTTTCTTTCTTTTTAATTATTGGATCACCGTGAGAACAGTTACAAAGCTTTCAGGTTTAAGTCTCGGTCATACAATGATCAAACACCCATCCTTTCACCAGTGCATATTTTCTACCATCAAGAACCCCAATATACCCCCCATCCCACCTCTCCCCATGCCTGTGAGGCAGATGATTTACATTTAACTCTCTCCCTCTACTTCGATTACATTCATTATTTCGACAAAAGATGCACCATTATTATTTGGAATTTTCCCCCAACAAGCAAACCTGCTGAAAAGGCATCATGAAATAATTTGTTTTCTTTGCTGGTTATGAAGACCATAATGATGATGTGCAGCCACAATAGCAGCCATGCAATTTTGGATTTCTGATATTTTACTAATTAAGTCTGGAGGGATTTCTGCCAAAAGCCACATAGTTCCAAGATTGGTTTGTGTGCCTCTGTGTCCATGGCTGTGCTGGAGAGTCGCTCGTGGGGGGCAACTCGTGGTCTCAGCGGGGCAGGAAGGATGTGCCAGTTCCACCCCCCATTCCATGAGACCACAGTTGCCGGCTCATACCTGGCTGTCCAATAAGCTCTGAGGCAGCAGCTGCTGTGCTGCTGGGGGCTGGGGGAAAGGAAGAATGTGAAAGAGACAGACACCCTTTCCCTCCCTGGGAGGCGGGGGCAAGCCACCATAGTTTAATGCAGAGTCTATTCACATTTCTGCCAAAAGCTGCTGTGTTCCGAATTATGTCCCTGTGCCTCTGGGGCCATGGCTGTGCCGGAGAGCCACTCGTTGGGGGCAACTCGTGGTCTCGGTGGGGAGTGGCTATCTTTCTACAAGAACTGGTGCTCCTGCTCTTTTTTTTTCAATTGCCTTTGAGTGGGGGAAGGAAGAAGATGAGAAATGGAAGTAATGGATGAAAGCAGTCGGAGGCTCAGTTATACTAATGATGTGGGAGAGTGATGTAGCTATATATCCAAAGCACAGGCTCAACACTGAAAGCATGTTACTTAAACTACAACCACTGAACTTAGAAATATGCTTATCAAGGTGGCAGTTGGGGAAGGAGAGAGAGGAAATACAGGAATACTGAAGGAGGGAATTTGATACTGATGGTGGGATTGGTATTGGTGTATACTTAAAACTCATCTGTCAATAACTCTGTAGATCATACTCTTCAATTAAAATTTTTTTAATTTTTTAAATTAAAAATCAATTTCACCCCCGGACATTAAAATCCTTTGTCAGTGAAGCCCTCATTCTGTCATTTTTTGAGATTCACGCATACTTGAATGGACTTGTTCAAATTCAAAAGATTTCTAACTAGAATTCTTTGTGCTATTCTATTCCATTTTTCATACTGTCATCTAAGAAGTGATTCAAACATAAAATCACATTATGAAGTGTGTGACAGTTAAAACCTAACTCTCCAGCATTTTTATGCAAGTCTTCATGATCGGACTACTGCTGAAGCTACCACTCTAGCTTCAGTTTGTGGTGTACTACTTTTTACTCACCCATCCAACACCAACTTACTTAGACCTCACTTCATTGTTTATGTGTTCAAACCCTTTTTAGAAATCCTACTATTAATCTACCATTATGCTAAGCATTGGAGCTATAAATCTGAGTAAGTTGTGGTTTCTTTCAAGAGGAAAGTGCATATGTAACTATTTAGTGTCTCATGGTATGATACAAAGATACAGGCATTTTTGCTCTTTCCAAGACACTTAATAATATAAAGAAATAGACATTTGAATAAAGTTTTAAAGTATTTGTTGAAATTTGCTATATGACCATGATAACATGTTTAATAAAATGTAAATATATAAAGGCAGGGAAATGGTGAAACTGAACCCCTGATTTGAAAAGTTGTAAATAATTCAGAATGACCAGACCTTAAGATTAAAGACAAAAATAGAATTATGGAAAGATAGGCCAGGAGGATTTTAAAAAAAAAATTTTATGTGTCAAAGTAGTAGGGATTTTTTTCCTGGAATACTGTGATCAAGTTTACATATTAAAAAGAAATTGCTCCATAATAATCATTCAGACAAGAATTTGTAGTTGCTATAACTAATAGATGGAACATTTGAAGAGTAAATACTACTGACATACACATTGGCATGGTAGCTCTGCACCTATAAACTAATAACTTTAATACAATTGTAAACTGATACATAAATAAAATTTTTATTAAAAAAATAAAAGCAGGGCTGGAGAGATGGTATAGGGGTTAAGTCACTTGATTCCAGTTTGATTGCTGGTACCACATATGAACTTTAGGGCCCTACTAAGAGTGATCCCTGAGCACAGAGCCAGGAGTAAGCCCTGAGCACAGCTAAATATAGTGTACTCCCCTCCAAAAAAACAATATTTATATAGACTCCAAATAGCTTCTTTGCATGTTTCTTTTTTGTTTGGGGGCCACACCTGGAGATGCTCAAGGGTAACTCCTCACTCTGCACTCAGCAATTAAGACTGGCAGTGCTTGAAGTAATTCATGACGCCAGAGTAACTCGGGTGCTCAGAGTAATATGTGATGCTGGAAATCTAACCCATGTTGGCTGCATGCAAAGCAAAATCCCCACCCGTGTACTAATGTTGCGGTCCCAGTTTTACATTTTACATTTTACATTCTTATTACAGTAGGAAAACAAGTAACTTAAAAGGAAATTCTGGTACACACTACAGTATAGTTGAACTTTGAAGACATGTTAAGCAAAATAAGCTTGTCAAAAATGTGGTCACATATGGTATGACTGCCCAAATATGAGGTAAATCAAATAGTCGTATTTAAGAGAGAAAGTAGTATGGTGATTATCAGGAACTGGAGGAGGGAAGGAAGAACTGGGACTTTTTGTTCAGTGGGTTAGAACTCCAGTTTGGGAAGATGTAAAGTGGGGAGAAAAATAATGGTGATGGTTGCACAGCAGTGTTAAAGTACTTAATAAAATTGAACAATACATTAAAAATGATTACATAGTAAATTTTACTGTGTTTTATTACAATTTAAAAATGACTATGTTCAGAGAGATGAGAATTTAAAAGGTACTCAAATGACCAGTTATCTTTCACATTATTAAAAAAAAAGCAGATGGCTTATCTCTTGCTTCCATGCACTGAATTACTTGAAAGCAAACAGCTTATGAATCTATGAATGAATCTATGGAAGCTTTTCAAGTGTTTTCTTAGTGAATGTTTGAATGAAATTAGTAAATTATCAAGTACTTACACTATTTATTTCTGATTTTTTACTTATTTCCAAGCCCCTGAAGTTTACACCCTATTTTTTTGCCCTAGTTTTTATTTAGGCACTGTGTTTTGAAATACTGTTAGTAATAGAGATTCAGGCAGGCCATGTTCTAACTCTGCACTCACCTCGGTATCAGTTTCCCTCTAGCAGTGACTCAAGCATAACCAATTTCTTAATGTAGAATGTGTATGAATCTTATGATTATGCTCTCTGCTTCTAATCTATAATTCCTCTATAAGAGTTTGTATATTGATGCCAGATTAATCAAATTCCATGTTTTGAAATATTTACCCAAAAAATCTTTAAAATTTTCCTATTATTTAAGTAGAAGACTTTCTAATTCTAACTTTGCCCTCAGAATTTACCTTATTTATTTGAAATTCTTCTTACCTACTTATTTAGCAAAATTAATTATGTTAAAAGTTTCGAAGGTAGTCATTTAAATTTATGACTATAACAAAGAAACTTATCTATTGTTTTAAGCTTTGGAAACCTATCGGGTTTTTGCCTTATGGTAATAGCACTGCACTGTGGCACTGTCCTCCCGTTGTTCATCGATTTGCTCTAGCGGGCCCTGTAACGTCTCCATTTTGAGACTTATTGTTACTGTGTTTGGCATATCGGGTAGCTTGCCAGGCTTTGTAGTGTGGGCGAGATACTCTCGGTAGCTTGCTGGGCTCTCTGAGAGGGGCGGAGGGATTGAGCTCAGGTCCGCCGGGTTGGCTGCGTGCAAGGCAAACGCCCTACCCACTATGCTATCTCTCCAGCCTGGGTCCAAGAATCAGATGGAAAATTTAAATCACTAAGACAAAAGAAAAAACAAAACAAAACTCTCTCTCCCTCTCTCTGATACCTCACTCCCCTAAACTTTTTGCTGGGTATTTATCAGTCTATCACTGAAATACAAAGTGAGAACAAATTTAAGAATGTTATATTAAATGGTTTCAAATCACTTTTTATTCTCTTTATAGGTTATATGTAAAGTCAGATGTGCCACTGAGCTTGACAAGCACAGGTAAGTTTTATAAATAGCAAGATCTAAAATTTTTTTACAATAGTCTTCTCAAGGTAGAAGAATATAATAGTAGAGTGTTCCTTCAAAGTTTGTAGAAAATCAGAGAGTTAGGTTAGTTCCAAAGAAAGTGAATTGAATCATCCACAATTGCTCTTTAGTACATCCTTTATTTTTCCTCCCCACTGCCCCTCCAGATGTGGCTTCATAGAGTCTACAAATGCTAAATTTACATTATGCTCAAGAATATATTATTAGTTTATGAAATAAGCAGTGTTTAAGCACTGACTGACCTGCCAAATGAAATTGCTAAGCTGGAGGATCATGAGATCTGGTTTTCAAACCAACTATCTCTCTAATTCACCAAGAACTCATTTAAACCTTTCTATACTTTGGTTTCCTGGCCTATAATAATTCACTCAGATATAGAAATAATTTCAAGGTCCATTTGGATTTCAAACTATGTAACTCTTTTTATTAATCTGAGATTACTAAAATTCAACTTTTTCAACTGAAATGTTTGTACTTACACACAGTTTTCTTTGTATATATTTTTTTACCCATTACCTACAGTTTGCCCATGCAAATTTTTTTAAAGGCAGAGAGTATTTTATGTTTCCCCTATTGAAAGTGACTCCAAATGAGAGAGGATATCAAGTGAATTTCCTGAGTTCTATAAATTTAGAGTATAAATGTGTTTTGCTTTCAAATGGATCCCATTACACCTATTTGATATAGATAGCTATACTTTGTCAGAATAGTTTTTATAAGGTGAAATAGTTTTGCTTAGATGGAAATAGAATTCTTGGAGTTTTTCTATATGTGTGAATGTGTGTGTTTATATATAGTAAATATGCAATTTTATAAGATGATAAACTGTCAATGAGTACCTGAAACTCTACAGATATTGTCCCTGTGTTCTTCTTTAGTCAGACTTGAAAGCAATATTTGCTTTTGATTGCAGAAGTTCTTAATATTTAACACTGTTCCAACTTGTTTTCACTACTTCTTAAAATTAGTATTAGCGATCAGCTAATTAATTATTAATTATCAATTATCAATTATTTATTAATTAATATTGATTATTAAGCATTAATATTAATAAAATAATTATTAATTTATACTTTATTATTAATTATTAATTATCTGGATTAATTATTCAGATATATTAATTTTCTGATATTTTTGTTTGTTTGGGGGCCAAGCCCAGTGGTGCTCAGGGCTTCCTCCTGGCACTGTATTCAGAAATTCCTCCTGGTAGTGTTTAGGGACCATACCAGATGCTGAAAATTGACCCTAAGTGACCATGTACAAGTCAAGATCCTTATGCTCCATACTATCTCTCCAACCTCGTAATTTTCTACTAAATATTTGAAATGCAATAATTCTTGGACTGAAATTGTCAATGAAAGTATGCTTTAGTTATAGAAATGAAAATTTTTGTATTACATATATAATGGTAAAATAATACTGGGTGGGATAGATTGCTGAAATGGACAAGTTCATATTTTACATGCAGGAGTACCACCTGGTCTCCCAAGCAATACCAGAATCAGCCCCTGAACAGTACTAGCTATGGCTCAAATCTTCACACAAACATACACACACACATATATATATACACACCTTACAATCATATGCTTTTCCAAGTAGAAGTAACTGAGTCATGGTCCTCATGGGATTAGATTATTTTTTAATTAATGCTTTAAAATAGAATATCCTTTAAAAGTGGCTAAAATATTAATTTCATAATAGCACAAATATCAAGTTTCCATTTAGTGAACTTTAGAAAGCATTATTTTCCCAAAAGTAACAGATTAGTTCATAATGAAATTTAATTCTTTATTTATTTTATAAATATTTAATAAACTCATTTTTTCTTTCAGAATTCTTCTGCATTTGGGCTTTATATTGGCCAGCCTCCTCTTTTTAGTGGTGAACTTGACTTGTGCAATGCTAGTCCATGGAGATGTCCCAGAAAACCAGTTGAAATGGACTGTGTTTGTTCGTGCATTAATTAATGATAGCCTATTTATTCTTTGTGCCATCTCTCTAGTTAGTTACATATGCAAAATAACAAAAATGTCATCAGCAAATGTCTACCTCGAATCAAAGGTAGGTTTATTTCTTAAATTTATACTTGAAAATCTAAGTTCAATTCTTTATTATTTGGACTATATTTTAGTTAAAAGTTTGTATTTTTGAAAGTATTCTGAATATTGCATATGTTTCTGACCATGAATTAATCACTAGAAATTGAAAACTATTCAAGTCTTGGCTCTACTAGATGATTTTCTTTTAATAAGTTATACTAAACATACTATATTTTCTATATAGCTTCTGAATTGGAGGCTGATTAAATGAAATGTACTAGAATTTACATAACATATCAAATAGTTTAACAATATAAAGGCACACAACTTTAGATTTCATCTGAGAGGAGGAATTTTGTCAACCAGATTTGACCTACATACATTTGGGTGACATTTGATAAAGTGACATTTGAATAAGGGGTTTAGAAGATGTTGCTTTATACCACAATATAAAGTCTTTATGATATTTTAAATCATGTTATTAAATTTATAAATGCCTTATTTTTTTTCTTTCATTATACTTCGCTTCAGCAAGCAGAAACCAAATGATATCTCATTGGTAGAAACCATGGAAATTTCTAGTGTTCTTGATTGACAGTGATTAACACTGTGGTTGAGCGGATCATCACAGTGTGTATGTAGCATAGGAGAGGGGGAGTAGAGGTATGTGGATATTGTGGTGTGGGCTTGTTCCCTTGAGCTGTTCTGACTTGGCTTTAATTTACTGATATGAATAAATGATAAAGTGATTAATGAAGGAAATAGGCAAGATAAAGTCATAAACAACTAATTTGATATATTTTTAGACTTCTGGATTGTTATCCTTAACATAGTCCTAATAAATAAAGACACCATAAATTTATGATAATAATTTTATCCTTTAAATTTATTTTAACTTCACATTTTAAACAGTAAAATACAGAATAAATACATGTAGAGAGCAATGAAGAAGGCTTTCAAATCTATTCATCGTACCTTGACATTTTTTTCTTTTATTCTAAAAAGTTAGTTCCTCAAATTTAAATATTTTAGCTGATTCTAACTTTAGTTCAAGTGTTAATAATAATACTCATCAGAGCACCACCCTGTAGCCATCCTCGTCCCCCAGCAATACCCAAACCTACCAAACACTGCTAGAAGTGGCTCCTATTTTTTACAAAAAAATATTGTCACTTTTGTGGTAAATAGGTATTTGGAAAAACAGTAGCATCTTTACTTTGTATAATAAAATTGCCACAAAATTCATACATCTTGCTCATCTAATATAAAGTATAATTAGATATGACTGAATTTAAAGGCATCTTTTCTTGTTACTTTACAACTTTTTTTTTAACATTTACAACTAGAAATCTCTGATATTTTAATAAATTAAAAGTTCTTTCTTATTTTTTTAATTTTTTTATTAGTGAGACACCAAGAGGTATCGTTGTAGACTTACAAATTTTGTGCTTGGGTTTCAATTATACAATGATCAAATACCCATCCTCCACCAGTGCCCATTTCCCACCACCACCCTTCATCCTCCCTATCCCACCCTGCCTCTGTGGCAGGGCATTTCCCTCTGTTCTCTCTCTCCCTTTGGGTGTTATGGTTTGCAAAAGAGGCATTGAGTGGCAATCATGTTTGGTCTATAGTCTACTTTCAGCATGCTTCTCCCATCCTGGGAGGATCCTCCCAACACCCTTTATTTGGTGCTCCCTTACAACTTTTTAGTTTGTTTCACTTACTTTGAAATAGAGAACTCTGAGTATAGTAAAGTTGCCAGTCTGATAAGAAAAATTCATATAACAACTCCTCCAGAATTATTTCAAACATATTTTCCTATAATAAACATCATTATAAATAATATCAAAATATACATTCATAATATTATTACTATTATTCTAAAAGTCTTAAATTTAAAACCTGCATAGATTCAGAATTCTCGAAGAGAAAAAACATGCCTCTACAGGTAAACATAAAATGATAGATTATTTGTGTTATGTTTTACTACTATATAGTTCTCGATCTCCTTAATTAAATTCTTATATAAACTTAAAAATCCCTAAGTAACTTTTTCAAGGAGTACATTTTATTGCTTTTGTGTTTTCCTTGTAAGATCACTAATCTCTTATGTCTTTTTATTTTTTACTTTTATCTAATATATATAATAACGACCATTTCCTTTATTCTGTCAACAAATTGATGAGCATTTGCCTCCTCTACATACAAACAGCACTGCATCATATTATCCTACGGTGTTTTTCTTTAAAACTCAGACTTTGGGGCTGGAGCGATAGTACAGCAGATAGGGCGTTTGCCTCGTATGCAGCTGACCCAGGTTCGATTCCCAGCATCCCATATGGACCTCTGAGCACTACCAGGAGTAATTCCTGAATGCAGAGCCAAGAATAACCCCTGTGCATAGCCAGGTGTGACCCAAAAAGCCAAAAAAAAAAAAAGTAAAACTCAGACTTTGGTCTGTTTTCTCCTTATTATTCCATCCTCCGTACATATTTTTGAAAATAACATCCTTCATAATTGATTTCAATTAAATCTTACCTTCTTAAGGAAGATATTCTAATTAGCACACAGGATGCTTCCTCTTTATATTTGTATATTTATTTTTTGCTCTCTTTCAGAGTATAAACTTTAAAACCAGTTCCTTAATCTTTAATTTTTCTATCCCTCTTGGTCTAAAATAGTGCTTGACATAATTATTGATAACTAATCAATAATTATTTGTTGAATATATTCCATACCTCTTTGCTTACATAGTTTTACCCTAATACCAAATGAGTTTTCACAATTAGGTTGTGTCAGGGGCAAATGAAACCAGTAAACATGCACACAATCACAGAATTAAATCAGCATTCAAACCCAGGATATATTTCATGCCTCTGCTAGAAATCACCACTTTTAATGACCATGAATTGACTCCATTTGCATTGATACACTACCTTTTTTTTTTAATTTTTTTTTATTAGTGAAACACCATGAGGTACAGTTGTAGATTTACAATTTTTTGTGCTTGGGTTTGATTATACAATGATCAGATACCCATCCCTCTACCAGTGCCCATTTTCCAAAACCATGGATAATATCCCCCCCACCCCCATCCCCCCATCCCCCCCTGCCTCTGTGGCAGGGCAATCCCCTGTGTTCTCTCTCTCCTTTTGGGTGTTGTGGTCTGCAAAAGAGGCATTGAGTGGCAGACATCTTCAGTCCATAGTCCACTTTCGACATGCATCTCCCCTCCTGGGAGGGTCCTCCAAACACCCTTTATTTGGTGTTCCCTTCTCTATCTGAGCTGCCCTTTCCTCTAGAATGCCCGACTGGCCACTAAGCTATGGAGTAATCCTCCTGGTGCTGATCTCAGCTATTCTTGGGTATTAATCTCATATTTAGTTACTTTATATCCCCCAGATGAATGCAATCTTTCTATGTCTATCCCTCTCTTTCTGACTCATTTCGCTTAGCATGATACTTTCCATGTTGTACCACTTGTATGTAAATTTCATGACTTCATCTTTTCTAAGAGCTACATAGTACTCCATTGTGTAGATGTACCAAAGTTTCTTTAACCAGTCATCTGTTCTTGGGCATTCAGGTTTCTTCCAGTTTCTGGCTATTGTAAAGAGTGCTGCAATGAACAAACAAGTGCAGATGTCACTTCGACTATACATTTTTGCCTCTCTGGGATATATTCCCAGGAGTGGTATTGCTGGGTCAAATGGGAGCTCAATTTCTAATTTTTTGAGAATCGTCCATACTGTTTTCCAGAAGGGCTGAACCAGTGGACATTCCCACCAACAGTGAAGGAGTGTCCCTTTCTCGCCACATCCACGCCAGCATCGGTTGCTTTTGTTCTTTTGAATGTGGGCCAGTCTCTGAGGTGTGAGATGATATCTCATTGTGGTTTTGATCTGCATCTCCCTGATGATTAATGATGTAGAGCATTTTCTCATGTGCTTTTTTGCCATTCGGATTTCTTCTTTGAGAAAGTTTCTGTTCATTTCATTGCCCCATTTTTGGATGGGGTTGGATGTTTTCTTCTTGTGGAGTTTAACCAATATTTTGTATATCCTGGATATCAACCCCTTGTCAGATGTGTATTCGGCGAATGTCCTTTCCCATTCTGTAGACTGTCTTTGTATTTTGGTCACTGTTTCTTTGGAGGTGCAGAAGCTTCTTAGTTTAAGATTGTCCCATTTATCTATCTCTGTTTTCACTTGCTCGGCCAGTGGCGTGGCATCTTTGAAGATACCATTAGCTTCAATGTCATGGAGGGTTTTGCCAACTTTGTCTTCAATGTACCTTATGGTTTCTGGTCTGATGTTGAGGTCTTTAATCCATTTTGATCTTACTTTTGTACATGGTGTTAGGCAGAGTTCTGAGCCCATTTTTTTGCATGTAGCTGTCCAGTGATGCCAGCACAATTTGATACACTACCTTTTATAGTTAGCCTTGTAAATGTACATTTTTAATTGTAGTAATTTATGTCTGAATATTTGTTGTTATGCATATTAATTATTTCACTAGCATATTCTTACTAGATGTTGCCCTCCAAAAGAATTAACCATCTTTATTTAAGTAAATCTCATTTTATCTGCTTCATTAGTATTTGGGTTCAGTTTTTACATATTCTGGTTATTTTCATTGATGTATACTGTTAACATTTTAATTTAAATTTAACTGTAGTACTGTAGTACTGTTCTCCAGTTGTTCATCGATTTGCTCGAGCAGGCCCAGTAGCATCTCCATTGTGAGACTTGTTACTGTGTTTGGCATATCGAATACGTCAGAGGTAGCTTGCCAGGCTTCACCGTGCGGGCAAGATACTCTTGGTAGCTTGCTGGGCTCTCCGAGAGGGGCGGAGAAATCAAATCTGGCTCGGCTGGCTTGACTGCACGCAAGGCAAACACCCTACCACTGTGCTATCACTCCAACCATAATTTTAATTTAACTAATATGTATATATATATTTTCTTGTTAGGGATATCCTATACAGTTCTATATAAGTGAAAAATATTTCTTGATTTT